CTGTGAAAAGTGTTATTCCTTATTTGCTGGGAGGTCTTAGGGAAGTGGGTTCTAAGTGAAGGCCTAGGGCATCACTATGTGGCAGAAGACAGATGGAAAAGAGAGGAACTGTGACTCAGGCCACTGCCTGTGTACCAAGCATTTGAGAAATGTTCAATACTTTATAACTCTGTTATAATGCAAAAATTAAAAAAATGAGAGTTCAAACAATTTAATTTCAGACAATTTGAAGCCATATTATGGAAAGGTGCATAAACCTACAAAGCTAGCAAGCCGGTTTTACAGGTCCTTTTGCAAAGTCCAAATCTGTCCAGATTTGGTACCGCTTGATTGTTATATCCACTTATTAGGACAATTTTGTCACTTCAGAACCAGTTCAAACTGGTTCTATCCTGCTTCTAACAAGACCTGAAACCAAAGTTTAAACCTTGGATACACCACTTACAAGTAACACTTGTGAACCCTTAACTGTTCCCCCACATGAAACCAAAGGACCAGGATGTGACCAGAACCTGAATGACAGAACCCTTTCAAAAGCAAAGAGTTCATTGTCTAGGAAGATCTGGTGCTTAAGCTCCTTAAATATTGCCCCAAACCCCGGATTGGAGAGACATATTTGAGCCTTGCATCCTGTCTCCTTGCTGGTTGATATCACAATAAAATCTTTTTCTTATTCTCAAAAGCCAGAACCATAATATTGGCTTCTATGTGCATCAGGCAATGAGTCCTTGCTAGGTAACACTTCCAGTAGGGATTCCTAGGTTTAACACAGGGATTCCAGAAGTCCTTTAATTAGTAGAGATTGTTATGCATGTACTGAACAAGGGAATTGGAATACAAGGTCTCCAAGACACATTCGGCCTCCAAGGATGGGGTTGCCTGCCATTTCCCTGCCTAGCTCTCACCTCTCCCATCCACATTCCTCCTTCCTTCCCAACACCCTTCAATATACTAAGAACAACTTTTGCAAGCCCTGGATTGAGAGCAATTGCCAATCTTTCATATCTCATTTCATATCAATGTGGGAGATTTAATGTTTAACAAGGATAGATCTACTTAGGGAAATGATGGTGTATCCTATCATTGATTACAAGTGATAGTAAAGGATTGTGGACCACAAGAACAAACTTATCTGCTGAGATGGTACCTTGTTTCCCTGAAAATAAGGCCTAACTGGAAAATAAGCCCTAGCATGACTTTTCAGGATGTTCATAATATAAGCCCTACCCCAAACATAAGCCACAGTTAAGATCATCAGCCTGACATGACTGTTTGAATAAATGTAGATTTTTGTACATGAATAGATGTAGACTGTTGGAGCAAAAATTAATATAAGACCCGGTCTTATTTTGGGGAAACATGGTATTAGACAGAAAGAATAGGGCCATGGGGAGAAAGAAAAATGAAGAAAAGGAGGAAGTGTGGAGAGACAAGAGGGAGGAGATGAAATAATCCTCAAGAAAAAGTGCAGCTACCAGACTGGCCAGGACTAGATTTCTGTGGCCAAGAGCATATCCAGGGCACCATCTTACCTCTCAAGGTGAACTTTAGCTAATTATAATGGATTATATTATTGGCATTGCAGTTAGGGAAAATCTCTACCCCCTGTGTTGCCATGAGAGTTCCAACAGAGCCAAATAAAGACAAAAATCCCTCCTCATGATGGGAAGGAGTGGTCAGCAAAGATCTGTCTAGGAACACCTCTAATACCACCCCTAAATATTGAAAATTTCATGCTTTCATTTTTAGTGAAATAAATTTCCAAGTCTCATTGTTCTTCAGAGAAGCTGCTCTTCTCTGGGCCTGCCTGCTTTCACCATCTTCAGAGTATACTATCCTTTTAATAAATCTGCTGCTTGCTTTTCTTAGAATTATTTTCTGTGGTGTACACCAAAAACGTATTTTCTTGCAACAATAGGACTCCCCATATTCAATCAAGGGCCTAAATTCTATGAATATTAAGAGTCTAGAAGCCATTTGCTGACAGGGGCTCCTCACCTACTCTGTATATCAGGAAGAACCTCAGACTGAACTCGGATTCTCACACTATGCCCTGCTTGCTTATCACTGCAGGGAAGTCCTGTTTTTTCTTTCTAATAGAGGTCTGAGACCTACTCCATCCAATCAGAGCTACACAAATTGTATCCTCGTTTGCATCTATACCAACCAATCAGAACTAGACAATTTGAAAACTCATTTGCATAAAAAGAGGAACTTTCTCTATAAAAGTCGGCCTCCCCCTTTGTCTCAGGGGAGCACAATTTACATTGCTACCTGAATGTCTCTCACGCTGCAGCTATTTATGCTCAAATAAATGTTTTATTCCTTATTACAATCTAAAATTAATTTTGGTTTACAGTATTCTAGTTTATATGGGAAGAGCAGAATTTACCACCCGAAAAGATGCTTCTTTAACATAAAGATGAATTTAAACTGATTATTTTAAAGAAAAAGCAGACATAGGAAAAGCTCTGAAATCTGAGTAGACAGTTGCCTTTTGTAAAATAAATTTATATTTATACAGGAAATCTCCATTTGTAAGACTCTCCCTCTCTGCACCAGGAAGAGGAAGATGACTAAATTTCTAGAGATTCTTATTAGTGTTAAAGGCAACTGACTAAACTCTGCTAAACAACCATAACCTTGTTTACTGTGCTTTTCCTGGTAACTTCCCATAATTGGCCTGCCACTATGCCCAACATCTTGCTTTGTCTTTAGCTGGAGATGGTATTTGAGCTGGTGGCTTGGGCCATTTTGAAGACTTACTCAGTTTTTCTAAGTCTCTCCCATGTATACAGGAGGTATACATACTGTTACACTTCTGTTTACTTTTCTCTTGTTAATATGTCTTTTATGGGCCAGCCGAGTGGTGCATTGGTTAAGAGCTGGCTTGGGACACCAGGGGGCCCGGTTTGGATCCCACATATGAGGGCCAGTGACACTGCCCTCTACAGCTAAGATGCTTAACAACAGCTCAACCTGGAGCTGGGCTGCTGTGAGTTGCTGGCCACAGCAATGGCGTAGGCTGCAGCCCCTGCTGCAGTGGGTTGCCATGGGCTACCGTGTGTAGCCATCAGCCGCCGTGAGCGGCCATCCAGAAGCTGGCGACTGATCTGACTTTCCTGGGAAGAGCGCAATGATGGTGCCAACTTGGGCCAGTGAAGCAACATCCTCCACAACTAGACTGAAGAACCAAAGGACAGCGACTTGTCTGTTCCCATCCCCCAATTCTCCAATAAACAAAAAATAAAAAACAACAAAAAATATGTCTTTTATTATGGGGAGGGTTTCTCCCAGTAACCTAGAATAGTAGAGGAAAAATAATTTTTTCTCCCCTACTCACCAAAGTTTTAGCTGTTTTTCCCCTCTTAGCGATATATGATCAGTGACAATGACAGTCAAAGCTGTAGTTACCCGCTCATGGACTTGCTTCTCCATTATATTATTTTAGTCCTTTCCATTCTAAAATAGTGCTATACAGTAAATTCTCACTTAATGTCATTAAAAGACTCTTGGAAAGTGTGACTTTAAGTGAAATGACATAAGGAAACCAATTTTATCAGACTAATTGATATAGAGTTAAGTTCCACAGCATATTGCTGGTAACAAAAACATCACCAAACTTCTAAAGATCGAAAACAGTTCTAATATTAAACACTGCAATAAATGACAGCTATGCATACTTTTAAGAAAGATTAATTTAAGAAGTATTATTTTCCAACCCATTTTTTACAGTTCAGTGTTGTGGGTGATCAAAGCCTCTCCCAGCAGCTCAGAGCACAAGGAGGGAACCAACTCTGGACAGGACATCCTTCCACTGCAGGGACATTCACACACACACTCACACTCACTAAGACTGGGACAATTTAGACATGTCAGTCAATTCACCTAATGTACACAACTGTGGAATGTGGAAGGATACTGGAGTACATGGAGAAAACCCACACAGACATGGGGAGAACATGCAAACTACACACAGACAGTAGCAAGAGGTTGAAACAATTTTTTCTCATTAATGTTGTAATGAAAATATATTATTTGAGGACCTGCTGTATATCTGCTTCTAATTGAATTTGCAAATGAATCACCTGGGGACATTATTAAAATGCATATTGTTAATTGAGTAGGTCAGGGTTGGGATCTGAGCTTCTGCAGTTCTAAGAGACTCCCAGTTAATGCCCACTCTACAGATATGTGGACCAGAATAGAACCACTCTGAATAATATTAAACAGAAATTGGTCCAAACTAAAACTTGGTTCTTGATTGTAATCTGTATGTCATTCATTAGGTCCTAAATTTTAAAGCAACTCTCTACCCCTAGGTTGCCTAAAAGTCAATTGTCAATTAGTCTGAAGGCTGGATGTGCTTTAAAAATTATTCTTACTGATTTCAGAGGCTTGTGATTTTTGGTCTCTGAACTGAAAAAAAGAAAATTACATCATCAAAAAGTAGGAAATATTGCCTGCCAACTAGTATAGGAAACTCCCTAGCTTTTATGGTGTAGTTTGTGACATCTGCAATTTTCAAATATTATCTCTAGTCATTTCATTATTTCCAGCCTTTAAAGCACTGCATTCCTCCCACTTCTTTCATTAAATGTGAAGCACAATTTTTGACTATGAATGTATTCAAAACTTCTTGCTTCTTATTAATTCTCTCCACAGGTTATTTTAAAAGCCAAACAACCATATTCATGGTGAATACTTTCATCACAAATACATTTTGTTAAAGTTAGACTCTCGCTTTTCAAGACTTGCAAATATCTCTATGGTTTAGCGCAAGTTGAGAAATCATATTATTTTATTAATACATCACTGAATAAAATCTGACCCATCCCATGACTTCTGTAATGTTCAGCATGCTACCATAAATTAATTAGGAAAAAATAACCTGTGAATAGAATCCAGAAAATTTACTACTAGTTGAGGGTTTGAGTATTCTGAAGTCTACTAAAATACAACAATGTTTTTTAAAATAGGATTTATTCAACATTTGGAGGGAAAAAATCAGTTTAATAAGAGTTGAATTTAACATTTGGCCACAAGACAAAATTATTGAGTCAAAAGAGTGTCTCTTGATGAGAAAAGACTTCTTTTTTTGTATTTAAAACCTGAAATTAAGAAAGAGCTCCATTATCAACAAGTAGTCATTAACAGCACAAACTATTTCACTTAGATAACTAACTCAGAGGCATAGGCAAAAAAGCATTCAGCAGAGAAATAAAGTGAAACATTTCACACACATTCACATTTCTTTTTACCTTTAAAAGACTTGGCATTAAGTTATTTTCCTCCAGTCACAATTCCTCCTTAAAACCCACCAACCTATAGTGATCCATCCATCTTCTGAAATTCTACAACATTATCTGTACAACTCAAATAACAATAATCTAAAATCAACTAACAATGCAGATTCCATTTTCTGTATGAATTTTATCTCCCCAATTAGAGTGTGAGCTCTTGGAGAGTAGGTACCATGGTTTTTAATTTGTATGATCTTTTGCCTAGGGCACACTAGTAATATATTTCAGTCTATGTCCATTCTAAGTCACTCTATCCTTTCCCCCAATCCTGCTTTCTCCTGTAACTCTTTCCTTATATTGTTCCCTAATCTAAAGGTAGTGTTTCATGCTCTAAAGCTTTATTCTTTTACTTCAACAAAAGTAAATCCACCCCAAAATGTAGCTTTTTAGTGTTAATTTTTAAATTGCTATATTTTCTGAAGACATCACAATCCATACAACATCAATTATACACTCACAGCGTGCAGGCAGAATTATAAAATGTAGGTCCATCAGTCCTAAATGTAGAACTTTTTTGTTATCTACTGTCTTAGAATAAACATTATAATGTTGTACAGCTTACCATTTTCAGGAAAGCCTTTTGATTATACAAAAGCAGAGAAGTTATTAACACAACAAATAATGACACAAAAGCAAATGGTATCAAGAAAGATAACAAGGTTTCCTTCCAAATGTCACCTAAGTGAAAAATCATAAAAAAGGGTAAGGGTTAGATGTTTACAATAATTTTTGAAACTGAATTATTTTATAAATATTCTAGTAAATGGTGAAGAACTGAGTTTAACTCAGAAATGTCTGCCATTTTTACCAGTGCATAGATACCACAGTTATATCTGAGTATAGTATTCTTTCCATTTATGCACATTTTATATAGAACAACTACCTTACTAAACTGTGACATCTCTTCATTTCACTTAGAAAAATAACACCCCAAAGCCCAGGTCTTATTTTCTGTTTTTTGTTTAAAATTTCACCTTGTGAATTTTTCATGGGAACAGATGATAAAACATTAACCAGGTGATTAGATAAACATGTCTTGTATATATCTTAACTGTCAATAAGTCAAATATTTATATTACACAATGCTATAGTGAGCAAGAGACAGTCTTAAGTAAAAGTCCCTGTGTAAATAATGGAGTTAGTCTTTAAATGTCATATTTTTAAAGTTGTCTCATCTCACATTTTAGTGACTAAAAAGGTGAGGTTTTTCTTTTCTTTCAGGGATGAAGTTTTAATGGCTCTCCTGCATAGCAAGACATAAGCAATCATTAGACAAACTTAAAAAGTAGACAAAACTTGTCCATCCAAAACTAGTATCGCTCACTTGTTTTGAAGAAGTACTACAGAGCATCTTGAATCCTAGGCCCATATCTACACTTAAATCTATCCCCAACCCCACCTTTTGCTTTGTCTTAGTCTCTTAGGGTCTTATTTTGTACTAAGTCAAAATTTTATGGTCAGTTCAGTTAAGATTTGCAAGGATATAATCCAGAGAAATGACTAATAATTTAAATTTGGGCATGCAAAGTTAACAGGAGGAAAGCAGGCTTCATTCCTGAGGTTTCAGTTGCTTTCCCTATATATAAAGTCAATTCTGAACAAGATATATTTTTATTTCCAAAAAGAAAAATATTGTCTCATTTTTCTAAGCCTTGAAACATCTAATAATAAATACCCTAAAGAACTAAGACCACATGCATCTCAGAAAATTGTTTGCTTCTAATCTCAAAGTTATTAAAATTTTATCAAGAGATAGTCATCAGGGAAAAAGAAATCTCAATCATTAATATCATGGTTAATATTATACTATATGTAAACAATATAAAAGGATGTACAAGGTGTAATCAAACAACACGTTGAATGTTTAAATAAAAAAAATTATTACAGTAAAACACCATTGCCATTAATCGCCCTCAAAATACTCCCCCTCACTTTGAACACACTTATCCCACCATTCTTGCCACTTTCTGAAGCAGTTCGGAAAGTGTCTTTAGTTGTGCTCTCATGGCTGCCTCGATGTCCTAAATCGATTCAAAATTTTTATCTTTCATAGTCATTTTGACTTTGGGGAAGAGCCAGAAGTCACATGGTGCCAGATCCGGTGAATAAGGTGGATGAGTACACACCATAATATTTTTATTTGACAGAAATTGCCGTATACCAGAAGCGATGTGTGACACGAAACCTTTCTGTTGTGTTCAAAAATATGGCAAATGCTGCTGCCGAGTGCCATCCAACAGAAAGGCAGGGATCTTCAATATGGGAAGTGGTGCATGAACCTTAGTAACAGTGTGTGACAAGTTTCAACTTGTTCGGTATAGTCATTCGGGTGTGAGCTAAGGTTGAGAGAAAGTGTGTTTTAAAGTGTGCCGTGGGCCGGCCGAGTGGCGCATTGCTTAAGAGCTGGTTTGGGACGCCTGCTCTGAGCAGCAGGGCCCTGGTTCAGATCCCACATGAGAGCCAGTGACACTGCCCTCTACAGCTAAGATGGTGAACAACAGCTCGACCTGGAGCTGGGCTGCCATGAGTCACCAGTGACAGCGTAGGCTGCAGCCCCTGCTGCAGTGGGCTGCCATAAGCTACCGTGTGTGGCCAACAGCTGGAGTGAGCTGCCAAGAGCCACCATGAGTGGCCATCCAGAGGCCGGCGACCGAACTGCCTCAGCTGGGAACAGCGCAATGATGATACCAACATGGGCCAGTGAAGCAACGTCCTCCACAATTAGACTGAAGAACAAAAGGACAGCAACTTGTCTGTTCCTCTTCCCCTGATTCCCCAGCGCTGTTCCCCTCCGCCAATTCCCCAATAAAATCTTAAAAATAAATAAATAAATAAATAAAATAATAAAGTGTGCCGTACCAACAGGCATATAAAAAATGTTCAACCTCACTAATCATTAGGGAAATGCAAATAAACACCACAATGAGATACCACCTTACCCAGTCAGAATGGCTATCATCAATAAATCAACAAACAACAAGTGCTGGCGAGGTTGTGGGGAAAAGGGAACCCTGGTGCACTGTTGGTGGGATTGCCCATTGGTGCAGCCACTATGAAAATCAGTATGGAGATATCTTAAAAAACTGGAAATAGAACTACCTTATGACTCAGCAATTCCACTCGTAAGTATTTATCCAGAAAAACCCAAGACGCTAATTTGAAAAAATATATGAACCCCAATGTTTATTGCAGCACTATTTACAATAGCCAAGACTTAGAAACAACCAAAATGCCCATTGGTAGATGACTGGATTAAGAAACTGTGGTACATTTATACAATGGAGTATTACTCAGCTGTAAAGAAGGAGGAAATCATACCATTTGCAATGATATGGATGGACCTAGAGAACATTATGCTAAGTGAAATAAGTCAGTCAGAGAAAGACAGATACCATATGATCTCACTTATATGTGGAATCGAAAGAACTGAATAAATGAATAATGTAAACAGAAATAGTCTCAGAGACACAGAGAAAAAACTGATGATTGCTAGATGGGACGAAGTTGGGGATGATGGAGAAGGGGAAGGGACAAGACAACATAGATTTTAACCACAATATTGTCTCAGGGATAGAAAAGACAGTATGCAGAATATAATCAATAATGTTGCAAATATTTTTTAGGGGGCCAGGTGGACTCATGTCTTGTTAGGGAGACCACCTCATGGATGGTGTAGAGGCCTGACCACTGCACTGTACATCTGTAGCTGCCATTGAATAATATTATATGTCAATTATAATTTAATACATATTAGTCATGGGATGTGGAATATAGTGTGGGAATGGAATCAATGTAATTTTGATAGATATATATGATATCGGGGGTGGGGAGACTGGATGGGGGAGGGAGGTTGTCACTTTGTGAGGGGTGAAAATGATAACTATTGCATTGTTTTGTACACTTGAAACTAATAATAATAATAATAATAATAATAATAAAATAAAAAATAAATAAAATAAAATAAAGTGTGTCATAAATCATGCATCATGAACAGCACATTAACGTGAAATAGGCAAATAGTTTCATCCTCCATCATGACAATGCTCCGTGTCACACATGACTTCTGGTATAGGGCAATTTCTGTCAAATAAAAACATTATGGTGTGTCCTCATCCATTTTATTCACTTAGTCTCACACTGTGTGATTTCTGGCTTTTCCTCAAAGTCAAAATGATTCAGGACATCAAGGTAGCCAATACAGTGCAACTAAAGACACTCATGAAAGAAGACTTCCAGAACTGCTTCAGAAAGTGGCAAGAACAATAGGATAAATGTGTTCAAAGCGAGGGGGGTTATTTTGAGGGGGTTAATGGCAATGTGTCTTTTGCTGTGATATATATTTTTTAATTTAAACATTTACCATGTGTTTTGACCACAGATCACACCTCGTTATCTTGAGGATGTGGCTAAAAACTTACCATACCCACTTTAAACTATGCATTGACTAATGACAAGATATAATTCAGGACATGACTTTCTCAATGTCAGTTCCACAGAGTTGCCAGATTTCTTATAGCAGTGACAAAATGAAAAATATAGAACCAATAAGTGTTCATTCTGATTCCATGTATCTCTTAGTTAATTGAGTTCTGTCTCTCTGCCTATTTTTTTCTGCATAGCCTTTAGTGAGTACATTATATATTTGGCTTCTTTGTTTATTATCTATCTCTACTCAACTTGGAAATCAAATATAAATTTTCTGAAGAGATAGATTGTTTTACCGCCATATCTCCTATGCCTGAAAAAGTTTGATACATAGTAGGTGCTTAGTAAATATTTGATGAGTGAAAGAAAACAATGATACCACTAATTTATAGAGAGATAATAGTGAAACAGTAATTCTTTTACAATGGAACAACATGAAAGAAGATGAATGATTGATAGAAATGCCATTAGCTGTCTGTGTCTATATCTGTATACGTATATACATATCTATATACCTAAAAGAGCAATGCTGAGTTAATTTACTTCCATTTCAAACAATTATTCATCATTTCTATTGATAAAGCTAGTATACTGTGAAGCACAATAATATTTTGCCTCACTGTCAAGGCTTCTTAGTAGCTTATACTGCTATTTAAATGTGTCTTTTCTTATAAGTCATTTTAAATCAGTGTTGGAAATAAAAGGAATGAAAAATACAGCATAAAATATGCATGTTACTAATGATGACATATTAATTAGAAACATATTCATTAGGAACAGTAATAGACACTTGAAAACAAGTTTATGCTGACTGATCCTTGCTTTAAGATTTCTGCTTGCTTGAAAACCAAAAACATAAGAAAATATTGTTAAAATGGGCTCCCCCCAAAAAGAACTAGCATGTTCTCTTTACTGAAAGAAAAACAAGAATATTGATACTAGAACTATAACACGACCTTAGTTAATCTAGTTTAACTACACCTAGATAAAACTGAATATTAGTTTCTCCATAAATCAATGTTCAACTGAGGTGCATTGCTAATTTATCTTCTCTGATTATAGACTATATAAAAGAGCACTGTGATTTTCATAATTACAAAACACACTGAAAGAAAATTAATTTTGCTAACAAATAGCTCCAGTTATTTAGTTACTGTTCTTTTACCTCATACCTTTCCAGCATTGTTTATCACTCCACTCACTCCAAATTCCATCATCTGAGCAATAAATATTCACTTTGTTTCTCACTAAAAAGCATAATTGTTGGCTTTTATTTGCTGTTCTTGTGGTGTATAATTCATTTTCAAAAGTGGTAGTCTGAAAGCCAAGGAGAAAACAAAATGGCATTATTTTATCTAGTTGCAGCTAGACAAATCCCATTTCTTTAGTCACTTTCAAAGTGGATTTTGTTACATAAAATGTATGCATCAAATGACTAAAAAGATATATACCAAAACCTAACAATGACTAACTCTTTGTATGGTGAAAAATTTTTTTTTCATTTTTTCTTCCCTTTCATATCTATATTTTTACATTTTTCTGTAGTGTTAATGGATCACTTGTAGTAAAGGGAAATGTGTGACAGGACAAAATTCCTAGGTAGATTTAGTGTTTATGACAACCAGTATTTGGATTAGTATCAAATTTTCCAGATTCCATGAACTGTAAAATGCTACATGCACTGAATTAGCAGAAAGAGCTATCATGTGAATGTTGTTTCTATGGAAACTAAAATTCATACTCGTACACATAAAGCTCTGATTTTTCCTTATTCTTATTTTGGTTAACTGCCCTAAGATCTGTGCAGCAGTGCTCAGGGTTTGGCATGAAACTACCCTTTCAGATATGAGAATACACAAGGCTGGATGATCTCAAAAGAAAAAAATAATAATAACTGAAGCGATTACTTCTATTTTACATTTCAAAGAGCTGAAGAGTGTTTCTCATCCAAAATAGTAGCTTTTCTTTTGTTGTAACTTTTCTTGGAAATCAGCATAGCGTAATATAGGTTAAAGTGGACTGGAGATAAGATCTGAATTCTAATCCTAGCTGTGTAATTTGACTGTAAGTCAGATTACTATCTTGGGACTTGTAAATCAATTCAACTCATCCATTTTCTCATCTGTTTATAAAATGAATTGATTAGAGCTAATGCCTTACCTACTTATCTCCATCAGTCTCTAAATTGGAAACCAATGAATAAAATTAACATACAACAATGTGGGGCTAAAGGCATCACACATTGTTGATACTGGGGAGTAATTAGTCTTGCAACCATTGCCTACTTTCCCAGTTAGCCCCTTTCCTTGCTACAAGCAATTCTTGGGTAGCCCTGCCAGACTAATTTTGACCTGATGGTCGTTTCTCAAAAAGTGGTTTTTATGTTTGTTTATGTTTTTTGTTATGTTCTCTTGTTACCTGAGGCCTCTTCATAATCCATGTTATGCATGCACTTGGCAACTTTATTTTATTGACACAATATTGGAAACAAGTTCCTAGATTATCTCCAAGGTCCTATGTACCTTTAAAATTGGTATGATTATCCTTTCAGACTACAAAAATCTTTCTTTTGTCCACTAGATTATTTGATTTACTGGAAATTAAACTGAAATACATGTCATTTTCTATTCCTCATGTGGATAGCAATTCATTGATTCTCATGTTTGCGGTTTTATTTAAAAAGCTATGTTCATGATTTTGCCAAATAAATGTAATGTTCATACCACCCAGGTACTATCATCTTCTGTAAACTGAATTTCATAAATGAAACACTTTGCTGGAATGGGTCCTGCAGGCATGCTCCACTTCAGGTTAATTTCCTCTGAATTCACAATAATACTAAGATAGTCTGGTGGCGAAGGTTTAACTGAAAAGCAAAAGGAAATCATTCAACATGGAGGTTACTGAAGTTGAGCAGTAGCCCTTATCAAAAGCTAGGGTCACCTAATAACATAAGCCTCCAGGATAAATCAGGTGGATCAAGACTATTCTCTATAATGTGAATTAAAATTTGCTTACCAACCAAATTCAGTTGATTAAGAAACTTGGATATTTTGGAAACTAATTTTTGAAAGTCCCATATTGACAAACATTTAAGCCCAAAATAAAAGTTAGAAGATCCAAATCATTATAGTTATTTTTTCATTTTGCAGAGAAAGGAAGCAGAATAGACTGCCTCAAAATGTGCCACTTTGGCATGTGGATTATTTTAAGCTGAAGACAACCAAGACCAAAAAGACTCGGGAAATGATTTTTTTCTTTTTTTCTTTTTCTTTTTCACCTCCCCCTAACTGGCTAAAAGAATTTAAATGGAAGGCCTGGTCCAGGAAGAAAGCTATCACCAATAGATAACTACAAACAGCATGGGCCAGGTGTGGTGGGCTGGAGGGAGTTGGCAGGGCTTGTTTAAATTTCTCTCTGTGTCCCATTGCCTCTGCATGACATGGCAATCATTTGTTTACCAAGCATTTGTTCTTCTCATCTTGCTGTGACTGTATTCTTTCCCTTTGAAGTCCCAGACTCCTACCCCCTTGTCCTTAGCTCAGGATGGCATATAAGCCTCAATTGCCTGATTGCCTTTTGGCCTCTCATGTCTATGCAAGGCTCCCATAGATACATAATTAAATTTTCTTCTCTTAATCTGTCTTATGCAAATTTAATTATTAGACTAGATAAAAGAACCTATAAGGGTAGAGGAAACATTTTCATTCCCTACAGTGGCATCAGAGACAATTACCACAATCATACCTACTACTATTTTTATTAATAGTTAGCTCTTATTTAGAGCTTATGATACATCAGGCACTGAACAAGGGATGTCACACCATAAATTAATTCATATCTCACAATAAATCTATGAGGTGGTCCTTTATTATCTTCATGTTACTGATGACGAAATTGAAACAGATGTTAAAAGTAACTTGCCCAAAGTCATGCAGTTAGAAAGTAGTAAATCCAAGATTCAGGCCCAGGTATGACTGACTCTAGAATCTGTCACTGTTGTAACTGTTAAAACAGAGAACCCAGACTCAGAAAATATTCAACCATTTGCCTGTTGAGGCCTGGAAGTAAGTGATTCCATAATCACTCTATCACTAACACTGGATATAATACTGTATAGCAGACCAAGTCTTTGAAGCTGGGAAATAGATTGTAAGTTCTAAATGAAAATGACATTTTACCCTTCATTCAATTCCTTATCTTCCATACTTTCATATTTAATAAAAGCTTCCTCATATGTTCTATTGGCCCTCATTATTCTGGCTTTGCATTTCAGTAGGTATCTCTATATCTCTATCTCTATATCTATCTCTGCTCTTTCATCTGGTTGTAAATGGCCTAAACTAGAAATATTTTGAAGCTGTTTGTTTACCTCACCTATATTTTGAAGCTGAAGAATGAAATAGCTGGGTCTGATAAGCTGGGATTTTGAAGATCCATTAACACAGATGTAGAAATCTTTATAGTCTGGCGACTCCAAATAAGGAAACTTGCATCCAATATTTTTTCCATTACCCTTGATATAATCAGCACACTGTAATGCATGGTCCAAGCCCTCATACCTGTAAAAAGAAGTTTTGTAAAAATTGTTTACCAATATCTTCTAGTATCATGATGTCCAAATTTCAATTATGTTAAGATAACAAGTAGGGCCGGCCGAGTGGCTCAGTTGGTTAAGAGCTCGCTCAAGAGTTTGAGCTCTGAGCAACAGCGGTTTGAGTCCAGCCCGAGCTGAGCAGCTGCTGAGCTGCCAACAGGTAGCAGGATGGCTCAGCTTAAAAAAAAAAAAAAAGATAACAAGTGAATTCAAAATAATTTAAAAACATGCAATATTTATCGAGTACCAATTATGTGCCAGAGCTTTTGACAGGTGCTAGGGATATCATAGTAAGGAAGCTTACAATCTCTTAGGAGCCTTTAAAAATATGGAGCTTACAATCTGATAGGAGCTGTTATGAAATCACAAAGATAAGGCAAGGTTATGCTGACTCACCAACAGGATTTGTGAATCAAAGAATAAGATTCTTATTAAGAAAACCAGGGATTTATATACATAATCCTGAATGATATTGCCATTTTTTCCTATTTTGTTATTATTAAAGTATAGTTGGCTCACAATATTATATTACTTCCAGACATACAATACAGATTCAACATTTGTATATCTTACAAAGTGATCATCACAATAAGTAGTAACCATCTGTCACCATGGAAGTTATTACAATATTATTGACTATATTCTCTGTGCTGTACATTACATTTCCATGGTTTATTTTATAACTGGAAATTTGTACCTTATTCCCCTTCACTCATTCCCCCAGACCCTCTCCTCTGGCAACGCTTATGCACTGTTGGTAAGATTATAAATTGGTGCAGCCACTATGGAAAACAGTATGGAGTTTCCTCAAAAAATTAAAAATAAAACTACAATATGACCCACCAATTCCACTTCTGGGTATTTATACAAAGACAATGAAAACATTAATTCAAAAAGATACATGCAGGGCTGGCCGAGTGGTGCAATGGTTAAGAACTGGCTTGGGACACCAGAGGGCCCCAGTTCAGATTCCACATATGAGGGCCAGTGACACTGCCCTCTACAGCTAAGATGCTGAACAACAGCTCAACCTGGAGCTGGGATGCCATGAGTCGCCGGCGAGGGCATAGGCTGCAGCCCCTGTGGCAGTGGGTTGCCATGGGCTACCATATGTAGCCAGCAGCCAGCATAAGCGGCCAGCAGCCGCAGTGAGTGGCCGTCCAGAAGCCGGCGACTGATCTGCCTTGCCCAGGAAGAGCGCAATGATGATGCCAACTTGGGCCAGTGAAGCAACGTCCTCCACAACTAGACTGAAGAACAAAACGACAGCAACTTGTCTGTTCCCCTTCCCCCAATTCCCCAGCACTGTTCCCATCCCCCCAATTCCCCAATAAAAATCTTTAAAAAAAAAGATACATGCACCCTTATGTTCATTGCAGCATAATTTATAATAGCCAAGATATGGAAGTCACTTAGGTGTCAACAAATAAAGAATATTATATATATATATATATATATATATATATATATATATAGCCAAAAAAGTGTATACACATTTTAAGAAATGAAAAAACTGTATTGGGGCTAGCCGAGTGGCGTGTTAGTTAAGAGTTGGCTTGGGACACCAGCTCTGAGCAGCAGGGCTCTGGTTTGGATCCCACATGGGCCAGTGTTGCTGTGCCCTCTACAGCTAAGATGGTGAACAACAGCTCGACCTGCAGCTGGGCTGCTGTGAATAACCGGCGATGGCATAGACTGCATTGGGGCTGGCTGGCAGCTGGAATGCATTTTTGTGAGCTACCATGAGCCGTCGTGAGTGACCGTCCAATGGTCGGTGAGCGACTGCCTCACCTGGGAAGAGCGCATCACAATACCAACATGGGCCAGTGAAGAGACATCCTCCACAACTAGACTGAAGAACAAAAGGACAGCAGCTTGTCTGTTCCCCTCCCCCAAGTCCCCAATAAAATATTTAAAATAAAATTACGCTGATGGTAACCACTTTGAGCACCTCTTCTAATTGCAGAAGTCAAACATGACTTGTATTTATCTTTGATTATCGGTATATATTGAGTATTACAATTTTAATAGAGTTTTTTCCTTTCTTAAAATATGTATACATTTTTTGGCACCCTCCCCTCTGTATGTGTGTATACACACACACACACACACACACACACACACACACACACACACACTGGAATATTACTGAGCAACACAAAAGAATGAAATCTTGTCATTTGCAACAAGTACTACTTATGCTAAGTGATACTGCCTTTTTTATATTATATTGGAGAACATACAGAAAACAGATTTAAAAGCAGACACACAAAATATTGTTATGGTTATTTCTTTATTTGTTTGTCTTGTTACTTTGTTGCTTTCAGTAATTAAAAAATAATGTTATGTTTAATAAAATAAATGAAAATTCTCTGAGGATACAATATATATCAAGAGATAAACCTCTGAAAATCCAAAGGGAGGTCACAAAGAAAAGAAGGATCTGTTTGGCAAGTAAATATCTAATTTCTCATTCTCTTAGATAAAAAATATTGCCATATCATTGAAAGTTAACCTCTTTCCAGTAATAATGCTAATGGGAATTAAGGGGAATTTTCCTATTGATTTCCAAAGCAACAAATGCCTGGTTTATTTTACTAAAGAAAACTTGCAATGCAAAATGTAACATTATTGTAAAAGCAACCAAAATCCCTTTTGAAATAAGGCCAAGATAGCATCTGGTAAGATACTAGTACAAATATCTGGATTCTACAGAATCCACTTTATGCCAAGTATTTACTTTAGGCAGAGTTCGCAAAATTGTAGTCTCTTGGTTAGTTCACCTGATTAAAGTTTGGAAGATTTGAGTTCTAGACTTGACTTTACAAAGATTTACTTTGTGCCTATGGGAAGTTCTGTGGTACCCTTATTTTCTATTCTCTACAATGATAATATTTATCCCTCACTACTTTACTAAGATGAGGATAAATTTAGGTTAAACTTGAAATACAATGTTCAAGAGGGCAGGGACTTCATCTTATTCACACTTTTGTCCTTTTTTATCTAGAACAGTGTCTGGTATTTAATGATTGCTTAATATCTGTTGACATAATTAACAAAAAGTTACACCTTAGAAACTGACACATCCAGTTGCAGATAGCTGAGACCCCAAAAAGGGAAATCACTTGTCCAACACCACCAAGTGAAATGGGCATCGCATAGCAGAGATAGTCAAGAGCCATATAAGAAACAGTTCATGCCTACCAATCTCTTAAAAATTTAAGAGTATATATATATATATATATATATATATATATATATATATATAATTTAAATGCTACCTGGACAATAAGTAATAGTTCAGAGAAAAACTAAACAGAAGTTCATGTGATTAGTAAAGGGTTAAGGAAATTTAATGCTAGATGGAACTTGCAGGATGGATAAGAGTTGGTGAAAGAGAGAGCCAGAGGGCATTCCAGATAGCAGTGCACACAAAGGCATAAAAGAGCATAACATTGGTGAAAAAAAATCTAGAGATGAGTCTAAATGGAGTGGAACATTCACAGTGGTGATAGTAGACGGTAATGTTGGAAAGGCAGTCATACAGTGAGGCAGAGACTTGAATGGCAACCTAGCTTTTATCCTGGAGGAAATGAGTAGCCACTGGAAGTTTTTGAGCAAAAGAGTGGCATGTGAATATAGCAGTGTAGGAAGATAAATCTGACTAGTGTGCAGAACAAATAGGAAAGGGAGAGACTGGAAGCAGAGAGAACATCATTTGGGAGGCTATGGCAATCATCCAGATGTGGAATGATGTGAGCCTAAAGTAGAGTTCAATGTTATCATGAAACAATTAAGGAATGAAGGAGACAGAAGATTCAAGATGGCTGAAATTTAAAAGCCTCATTGATAGTTGACAAAGGAAGGAAAGTCAGAGAAAAAAGATCCACTTTTAATATGTACCTGCTTTTGAAAGACAAGAATATAAAATATGCCAAATTTTTCAGGTTATAATTCAACTCCATCTATCTAAAGGATACAAATTTAATCTTGTATAGAAACAGTGATTGCATTCCTTATATCACCCATACAGTGCCTTCTAGTAGCTACACCCTAAACCTACTTACTCCCATTGAAAACCCCAAATAATTGTAAACAACCTTCATCACAAATACAACTTTGAAATATATAATGAATTTAATTTAGTGAAAATACAATTACTCAACTATGGATTAATTTTGATAGGTATTTTCCTGATATGAACTCTTATTATAAAAATACTTACCAGTAAAACAAGTTGTAATCAGTATCAAAATGGACACCTATGCCAAGTTTCCAAGAGCAGAGTAAATATTGCCAGTTATAATATATACAATCCATATCCCGAATTTTAGTTTCCAGATTTCCTAAAGAATGAATAAACTGTGAATGCTTGAAAGGCATGGTGATGAATCATTTGGGAAATCACTATGCAACTTTATTTCATTTCCTTTTACCTCTCCATTTTATTTAGGAATCAACACAACTGGGAATATCCCAAAAGGAAATTGTTGAAAATCACCTCACTGTAACTGGGGTATGCAAAATCAAAAACCCTTGAGGGCTCATTTACTAGTGTAAGTACTAGTGTAAGCATATGCAAAAGTGCTAAATTAATAATTCCAAGATGCTCTAAACAGTTGATTAAATGCTCACATATATATTTATTAATTTGACTTCAAAACTGGGAACCATATTAAATGCCTAATAAGATACAGATTTTGCCAAATGTGTTTGCTGATTTAAGGAATTCAAAAAGGACAGTCAGTCACTCCTAAGAAGTATCCTATTTTGTGCCACACACTCAATTGTACATACAATCTCATGTATAAGAGTTATAGAATTTATTCCCTATATGCATTGTTCCGACAGCATTAAATATGAAATGAGAGCTTTGTTTTAACCTTGTTGTGATGTTGAATAAGTAGCTTCTGACCATGAACTTTGAACTGTAGATCCGTTTGTGCATTGGCCTTGCAGAAGTGTGTGTATCTTTGCTTCAACACCTTTGTTAAGATCAAACCCATCTTTGTAACATAGATTCTTAGTAATGATGGTCTGTTTGATAAAAAGATGAGACAAAATCAAGCTTAGAAACAGTGATGACATCGTGTGCCACATTAATAAAGTAAGAAGTCATTAATACCCTGGAGAGTTCCCAGTATGTAAGAAATTCCTCATGATACAACGTCCCAGATACATTTCCCGTAAAACTCGCTTCTGTATATTATATCATTTGATGAGATCATTTGAATCTTAACACCTCATTTAAAAAACCAAAAAATTCTGGAACAGGAAAAAGGCTCTATGACAGGACTTGAGCCATAACCAACCAAAATTATCAAGATATAATTTTCACATACCATATGCAAATTACACGACAAATGATTTGTCACCTTTCAAATTTCATATGAATTCCTGAGGAATCATATAAAGTAAAATCTTGGAGGTAACTGGAGAAAGCCAGACAAATTGTGAGCTCCTAGGAGACTAAAATCATATAGCATTTATCTTTGTGCTCCTGATATCTAGCAGAGTGCCTAGCACAAAAAGTTGCTCAATAAATGTTTGATTTCAATTGTCCCTTGAAACTACCTATGTTAATTAGGAAGGTAACAGAATTCTTGTACAACAGAAATCTTTGAATGAACATGTTTGTTGACTATGCAAATAGTTAATAATTCAATGGACTTTCATTGAGCATTTACAACAATATATGCAAAAAAGCATGCTGTGTTCTGATTGGGAGAGTACAAAGATAAATAAGGCTTGATTCTTACAGAGAAATAACTCACAGTCCAATAGCATATATAAGAGCTATCTACAGGTATATAAGTAACTATAAAATATGGTAAAATGTATAAGTACTCTTTAAGTCCGTTATCCATGGGACCAAGTAATTTTTTCCTATACTTCCAATGGTAGTCTTAATACTGGGTGGGGTGAAAAAAAAAGATGTGGCAGAAAGTACAGAGAAGAGAGCAGCAGCCATGGCATCTTGTTATATCTTAAAAGCTATTGAAACATGGAAATTAGAGTGGATGCTGATATCAGGAATCATAAGAAAACACCTAATAACCACTCTGATATCACAAATGCATGCTTTACTTACCAGCCAATTTTCACTATCAATGTTTCGGTATTTTAATTCATATTCTACTGTGCATTCCTTCAAAATTTCCAAAGACAATGAAGGTTGCCATTGCAAATAGAGATAACCTAAATATCCAGGATCCACTATCTCAAAATCCTGAGGAGGATTAACTGAAATAAAATAAAAATATTTTTACCTATTTTTTGAATCTATGACAAAGATTGCTAAATCCAGATTACTACCATATGTTTATCAACTGATGAATGGATGAATAAACTCTAGTATATCCATACAATGGAATATTATTCAATCATAAGAAAGAATTATACTGATACATGCTACAACATGAAAAACCTTGAAAACACTAAGCTAGGTGAAAAAGCCAGTCAAAAAGGATCACATATTGCATGATTCCATTTATATGAGATGTCCAGAATAGGCAAATCCATTGAGACAGAAAGTAGATTAGTAGTTAACAGGGGCTGGTGGAAGGGGGGAATGAGACATGACTGCTGAATGGATATGGGGTGATGTAAATATTCTGGAATTTGATAATGGTGGCTGTTATACAACTTTGTGAATATACTAAAAAACCCACTGTGCTCAAGAGTGCAAGCACTGAACAGCACCCATTAAAGTCCCTGCTGGAGCTGAGCTGCCACTGAGCTGCCAACAGGTGGCAGGATGGCTCAGCTATAAAAAAAATAAAAAATAAAAAACCACTAAACAGCATACTTTAAAAGGGTGAGTTTTATGTTATGTGAATTATATCCAATAAAGCTGCTAAAAATGATGGATTACTGCTGTATAATTATCTCCTCTTTAAGAAATCACATATAAGTGGACTGAACTCACCAATAAAAAGGCACAAAGGGGCCGACAGAGTGGCTCAGTTGGTTAAGAGCACAAGCTCTGAGCAACAGGGTCCCTGGTTTGATTCCCATAAGGCCAGTGAGCTGCGCCCTAGTTGAGCTGCTGCTGAGCCGCCAACAGGTGGCAGGATGGCTCAGGAGGTGAGAGCATGTGCTCCTAACAACAAGGTTGCCAGTTCGACTCCTACATGGGATGGTGGGCTATGGCCACTCACAACTAAGATTGAACTCAGTACCTTGAACTGAGCAGCTGCGAGCTGCTGACGGGCAGCTGGATGGTGACTGGACTTGGAGCTGAGCTAGCTGTGTCCTTCACAACTAAGACTGAAGGACAACAACTTGGCTGTTCCCCTTCCCCAATTCCCCAACACTATTCCTTTTCCCAATTCCCCAATAAAATCTTAAAAACAAAAAAGAAAGAAAAAAAGAAATCACATATGCAAAATGTGAATTTGCCTACCTAGCTAGGTACTAAGTTTTCACAGAAACAAGAAATTCAACATGGAGCTATCTCTGTGGTCCCACAAACCATAATATGGTTTAGTATGGGAGCATGTTATTACATAAATCTCTCTAAAAGCAAGAACTAAACAGTTATTAATTCAGTGTTTACTATATCCATATAATATCATGACACATGCACAAAAAGGGATAGAAAATGTAAAATATAACTACTATGGCTAAGTGCTTTAAGAATTAGGGGAATAAGCAGATCTTGTTGGTTTATTCTGTTTAATTAAATCCTCTAGTAAACTTAAGTTCAGTGCTATCCCTAGAGTATGGCAAACCAGGGCCACTCTTTGGAAGGATTCAAGAAGTGGCAGGCAGCTGAGTAGAGTGACATCAGGAAAAAGCCCCTCTTATTTTGGAGTTGGAGGCAGTGGGAGGCAATGGTTTCTCCATCTGGTAACTTAAAAAGCAATAAAAACAAACAAACAAATAATTCTATAAACTTTCTTACAAGCAAATCTAGTAGTACTATACTATTACCCTCATGTTGCCATTCTGCTAATAATTCCTCTCATTTTTGCCTTGTTGTTCATTTTACTACTTTATAACACTTACTGAGGTGAGGAAAAGAATTCACAGACAGAAATTGTGGCACATATTATAATTTGATGTGGGACCCCCATGTACCAATAAAAAAGGTCTCCATTGAGGAAGAAATGACAATACTGTTGTTTCAACTTTTATGGTTAGAAATATTTGTCAAATGCATTGCTCTGATTACCTGTGTCAATAATTGTTCATTAGACAAGATTTAGTAATTCTGTAATTATTTTTGAATTTTATTTTAAGTCTCTGTTTATTTTTTCTAATTTATCTAATTGTCTTAAAAGTTAAGGATAGTAACTAAGGAAATTTCCAGTTAGTTGGATATCAGGAAGTGAGGTTTCAGATAATTAACCTATTCATTAGATGAGACTATACAAAACATATGGGAAGTGTCTTTTAGTTTGGCTTTTATCCCACAAAATGTTTATTATCATCAGTTATATTATACATGAGGCTGACTACTAAGAGCGTATCTTTTGTGCATGGACTTCTTGAGTTACTTCCAATAACAATGCACCCACTTGTCATTTTCTTAGCGTAGGTTGAAAAGACAGTAAATATCCATAATTTAAAAACTACTCCATTGTTGGTTTACCTTTTATTTCAGCATTTGAAGACAAAGTAGAGCCAAATACTGTGCAAATAAGAATGAAGCATCTGATATCCAAATGAACGAAAGTCATTTCTCTAAGATTCAATACCTTGAAATTTCCACTCTAAGAAAAAAAAATACATTTTAACTTTATCTTACTTCAAATAACCAAATGATTAAATTTGATGGAAAATACATTGGGGAATTCTCTGCATGCTTTCTACCAAGACTTGGGAAAAACGTGCACCTCTGAACCACGGACACAGAAAAAATCAAGTTTGGAACCAATATAATCAGAAAGGGAGGATTCTAGTCTCATCCTTCTTATGAGTAAGAACAAAGCAAAACAAACAAAAACCTGTATCACTTCACCCCCATCCTCCCACTTTCACACTTTTCTATACATCACACTCTGTGGCCAAGATGGGACTTCAAATAGCCTTCAGCCTGAACACTGAGCCAGACCAACCAGAGTGTTCTTATTGGTTCACAGGGCCTGGCAACAAAGAAACCACACTGATATGTACTCTTTTCTGAAATGAAAAGTATTTCAAAGTTATATGACTTTCAAAAAGTTAAATGAGAATGCTCAGAACCTACACCAAAGCCTCGATAACTCAGAAATTTGCTCCATTTCTTCATAAATACCAAATCATCATCTCCTACTCTCATATCTGCTCCACTCTTCCGTGTTTCCTTTATCAGTAAATGGCATCATCAGCTTCCCAGTTGCCCAAACCAGAAACCGGGAAGTCTTCACCTCCTCCTTCTCCCATCCACTCTCTCACTTATTACTATAGCATAGATGACCTTTCTAAATGGCAAATCTGAACTTATTAGCCCTTTCTTAAAACAGCACTTCACCACCCCAGAATTCAATTTAGTCATATTTTTATGCTTGAACAATATTGTTTTTATGATCAAAACTTAAAGGATTCCTATCTCCACATACCTACTCAGTCAAAAAACACTCTCCTTTCAAAGAAAAATCACTACTCTGAGTCCTACACCTCTCTTTGAGTCTATATCCCTGGAATCAACAATTTCACAGGAAGTTAAGGATTAAAGGTCACTTATCACAACATTCAGGGACAACTAGTTTTTCTACTACATAAATTAATTAAGCAGGATAGACCCTTTTTCCCTGTCCACCCCCTTCAACCTACCTGGTCCACTTGTAATGTTCTAATATTGGTAGGCTTCAATTATTACATAATAGAATCTTGGGATCAAACTGTTAGAGCCAGCAGGTATATTGGAGACAATGCTTTATATACTGGAAAGTAAAACTCAAACTTGCCCAAGGTTGTACAGCAAGTTAGTAATAGAGCTGGGAATAGAAGAGATATATATATAATTCTCAGTCCAATGCACTTCCATCCTACTATGCTTGATCCCACATGTTTGTTTGACTCAGGATTACAAAAGCTTTTCCTCTGGGACTCCAGTATTTAAATTCTCTTTCAATTAGCTAGCCAGGCTGAATCAGCACCATGCTATTTTTTTCTATGTCTCATAAAATCGTAAGAAGATGTCATTTCTCTTACTGAAGCCCAATAAATTTCTCCCTAATTCTTCCCTCCTGATTCACCAGCCCATGGCTGTCCTCTAAAGCATCTGTAAGTTTGGTCAACAGAAAGCCACAGAACTTCCACAGAGCTGCTCTCATAGATTGAGATGAACACACCGATTACTTTTAGATCCAAGGCAATAGGTCTGACAAAGAGGAATCCTTCTATATTACTTGTAAAGACTAAGACAATTAGGCTTCCCTTAAAATGCTCTCAGAGAGATCTTAAAGTTCTCTTTCTCCTATCAATCTGTCCTCAAATATTTCATAGCCTTATGTCATGTATAGCATAAATGCTAAGTAAAGAGTTAAAAATCCCAGGGCCTGCCGAGTGGCGCGATGGTTAAGAACTGGCTTGGGATGCCAGAGGTCCCCAGTTTGGATCCCACATATGAGGGCCAGTGACACTGCCCTCTACAGCTAGGATGCTGAACAACAGCTCGACCTGGAGCTGGGCTGCCATTGAGTCACCGGCGATGGCAGGTGAGTTGCCATGGGCTACCATGTGTAGCCAGTAGCCACTGTGAGCGGCCGTCCAGAAGCCGGTGACTGATCTGCCTCGCCCGGGAAGAGCGCAATGATGGTGCCAACTTGGGCCAGTGAAGTGACGTCCTCCACAACTAGACTGAAGAACAGAAGGATAGCAACTTGTCTGTTCCCCTTCCCCCAATTTCCCAATAAAAAGAATCTTAAAAAAAAAAGAGTTAAAAATCCCTTGCTTCTGTTCTACTTATTGGCTACTGAAATTTGACTCAGGCTGTCAAATAGCATTTCCTAAATCAGCCCAACACATTATGCCCAATACACTAAAGTAAAGGTAGGAAAATGGATAGCTGGCTTCCTGACTCATTTATCTATAAACCCATAAAAGGAGTTCCTGAATTACACCTAGGGTCCCACCCAGACTTTCTTACCCAAAGGACCACAAAGGTAATTATTTCCTTGGTTTCTGAGTTACAGAATGATCATTAGTGTAATGAGGTAGGTGTTTTATATGCTAGTTGGTTACCAGGAAGGACAGAGGTTTCACAAGGGGGTAGAGGATCTGAAGACAAAGGGAAGATGGGAGATGGAAACGCAAACATACCAGATTTAAAACAGTTTCTGATATACTCCCCACCCCAACCCACAGTTAACAACCACTTATTTGTCTGATCTTAACTCCTTATTTTTAAAAATGAAATACCCAGAGAGCAAGGTGAGTTGTCCAAGCTCACACAACTTATTGGTGGCAAAGATAGAACTGAAAAACACTCTCTTGAGCCCTTTCCACTGACAAGCAAATAAATGTTCTTTTTTTTTTAAGATTTTTATTGGTGAATCGGCGGAATGGGAACAGTGCTGGGGAATTGGGGGAAGGGGGACAGACAAGTTGCTGTCGTTTTGTTCTTCAGTCTAGTTGTGGAGGATGTTGCTTCACTGGCCCAAATTGGCACCATCATTGCGCTCTTCCCGGGTGAGGCAGATCAGTCGCCGGCTTCTGGACGGCCGCTCACTGCGGCTGCTGGCCGCTCAGGCTGGCTGCTGGCCGCTCACGCTGGCTGCTGGCTACACACGGTAGCCCATGGCAACCCACTGCCACAGGGTCTGCAGCCTACGCCTCCAGGTTGAGCTGTTGTTCAGCATCTTAGCTGTAGAGGGCAGTGTCACTGGCCCTCATATGTGGGATCCGAACCGGGGCCCTCTGGCATCCCAAGCGAGTTCTTAACCATCGCGCCACTCGGCCGGCCCTAAATGTTCTTGTTATAAGAAGTCTGTCCTGCACCTATTTTACCAGAAGCCTCACCTCAAGCCTTCCTCAACCTACTGTCACCATCCAAACAATCAAGCCCACCACAGTTTTGTCATCATGACATTTTTTGAAGATTAATAATTCAATAAATTTTCATTGAGCACCTATTTTTTGCCAGATACTATTCCAGATAAATTTTGTCTAATATACAAGGTGCAAATGACAACAATCATAATATCTGTAATAATAATAATAATAATAATATCTCCTATTTCTCAGTATTCACAGTATCCCAGGCACTGCCCCGTGCTAAGCACTTTATTTACATTATCTCATGTAATACTCACAGTCAACTTTGGATGTATGTACTATTTTAATTCCTGTCTTAAAGACCAGAGGCTGAGACATAGAGAGATTAAAGGACTTCTACCAATCACACAGACCATAAACGGTGAAAGAGATTTGAATCTGGTCTCATACCAGAGCCCTTGCCGATAACCACTAAACTTAGGCATTTTCCATGCCTAAGATCAATGTGGAAGACAATTTCCTGTTTCTACACACTCAGTTTTACACAACACTATTGCTGAGACAGCTTCGCACTGAAAACCTCCTTGGGAATGGCAAGCAGAAAGCTATTTCCTGTTTTTAGCTTCACTTCCCCAACCTCTTCAAAGCCATGCTAAATAATCCTCTAGTTCTAAGAGCTGGCTGGGATAATCCTTGCATTATTGGAGAAACTCCAGGTACTTACCAATAATATGGTTTCTCAAGAAATAGATTATCATAGGCAATTATCTAAGGCCCTCTTTTTTTCTCCTTTCCACTTTAGAGATATTAATTAGAATCTCTAACATTTCCCTTTCTGTCTGATAATCAGCACACTGAAAAAAATTAGATAGGTGTTTCTGAAACAGCCCGTGGCCAGGATACAGATTCCACAAATCACAAGATAGGGGAGATTATGGGTGGGGCTAGAAGCTATCTAAAACAAATTTAGGATCACAGCAAGGTGGTGTAAAAGTTGATAGGGCTAATTAATCTTTGGATAAACTAACAGACACATAACGTAAGAGCTTGTTATAATAAAAGGCACAATGGTGTAAGTATCAACCTGGATTTCAGCCCTGCCTCAACCATTAATGTGCTTGCTTAGAGGCAAACTCTAATTCATTCAATTTCCATCTATAAAATGGAGGTAATGACACCAGCTTGGCAGATTTGTGTTGAAGATTAAATGAGATAATGTATGTGAAAATGCTATGAGAATAGTAAACTGATTTATATATTTGAGAGGGGTTTGCTTCTGAGCACCTTGCCACTAAGCCAAAACCTCAAAATAACTAGCTCCAACGTACACATTTGCCCCTACTAACTCATCAAAACTGACCTGACAGTTGATAACTAGGCACTTAATATTAAACTCCAATTTCCAACACCCTTGTTGATCTATTATCTGCCTTTACTGATCTTTGTCTTAATAACAATAATTTCTTACATTTGTTTAGATTTTATAGTTTACAAAAATTTATTGAATTATTTTAACAAATCTTCAGGTGTATAACGCTGGTATTGCATATTTATACTCGGTAAAACTGGGGCTGAGAGGAGTGATGTGACTTGTACAAGATCCCACAGCTAGTATCATCCATACTAAAAGTTAAAAGATGAAAGGGACAGAAAAATGTTGCAAGGCTAGTAATCCAGTCACCTACATAATATAGTTTTGTAGTAAAGTTACTTCTCTGCCTTGACAAAGGAAAATAAAAAGATACTTCCAAAGTACCTGATATAATCACAAGTTCTTGTTTCATTTATAAAA